CGATTAAGAGAAGCCGCAGAAGAGGAAGCAAGATTAAAGGAACTTCGCCGAGAACGACGTCGTGATAAGAAACGCAAATTACAAGAAACAGATGAACCTGACGACACTCCAGCACAATCAGAACTTGCACAAATTATGGGATTTTCAGGCTTCGGAGGATCAAAGAAGTGATTATTATAGTAATACTATGCGTGTAATATTTTTTCCATATTATAATTGTAATTAAAGTTATATATTTTATTTAAATCCTCTTTTTGCTAAATTTTTTACCAGTATTTTTTGGTCAGTAAGGTTTATTTATAGTTTTTTAGAATAAGGGTGCCAACAAGCACACAGTCCACCTGATGGTAAGCGGATGCTGGGGCCCATAGATATCTACATTTATCCTCGATTAAGAATCAAAACGCAGATGCGTTGTCACCCGTGAGGACTAAGATGGAATGCTTCGTTTCCAGTAAAAAAAGATCTCCGGATCTCTATTTTACGCAGGTATTCTGTGAGAGCGTGGTACTTCCCCGGTCGAGCCGACCCATTCGTGCTACAACCATTATATAACTGCAGCGTGGCTCTACCACGTTAAAAACTACGACGCTCTAATTATTGTCTGCCGACTCATTCGTGCTACAATCATAATATGGCTCTATCACGTATAAGTTAATCGTCTATTACGTATGCAGATCATGGTCGTTTATTTAACAGATCATTTTAAAGAGCGTATGTAAATGTGAAAGCAGGATGTAACAATTTCTCTTAATACCACAAATTAACTACAAACGCACTTCTTATAACCAACTTCTTCTACACGTTGATAACAAACAGTATTTAATGTTGCCATTATTTTAATAATTTTAGAAATTTATAATATCAGAAAGTTTTGCGTATCTCAGGTATATTGCGGTGCCTGAATACTGCTGCAAGCATTTCCTTATACGCGCGCGCTTCTAAACAGTAGTAGGTAGGTAATAATTGTGCACCATGCAACTAAAGTTGGCACTTGGCACTATCTTTGTAACAACAACACACATCTCAAAAATGCCGCTTTATTAAATGTTTTGAAAGAATTTTTTACTATAGTACTTATTTTTTTAATCCAGCAAACAGCGGTAATAGGAATGTGACATACCTACAATTTGTTCAGCTTTTCCCGATAGATGACTTAAGGTAACGTAACTTCCGGAGATCATCAATAGTTTCACAGTTATCTACTAAAAACCTTTGCTAAAAACACAAATTAATCTTTAACCTGTTAAAAATAGGTATAGTAAATTTAGGTTACCTAACACCCGTACGACTTGAAATCTTTAGATTTTTTTATAGAATAAGGGTGACAAACGAGCACACAGTCCACCTGATGGTAAATGGCTGATGTGGGCCATAGATATCTACATTTAACCTCTATTAAGAATCAAATGCAGATGCGCTGTCTCCCCTAGGGACTATGATGGAATGACTCGATTCCAGTAAAAAGGGTCTCCGGATCTCTACACTCACCATACGAAACACAGTAGCATTAAGCTGCTAGCTGGTATTCTGTGAGAGGTACAATAAGGCAACATACATCTGCTTTGTGGATTTTTCCAAGGCATTTGATTCCGTCAAGTGGCCTAAACTTTGGGACACCCTGCTGAGAATGGGCACACCAAAACATCTGGTACATCTGCTCAGGTGTCTTTACGAAGGTGGTACTGCATCCGTAAGAACAGACGACAAGCTGTCAGATCACTTTCATCCTAGTGCTGGCGTTCGTCAAGGATGTATAATCTCCCCACTTCTATTTAACATCTATACAGAGCTAATAATGAGACGCACTCTCGAGAACTGGACTGATGGAATCTCAATTGGAGGGCTGAAAATCTCGAACTTACGATACGCGGATAACACTACCCTATTTGCGACTAGTATCGGCCATATGGAAGAACTCCTACAAAGGATGGAAAACGTCAGTCTTGAATTCGGCCTTCGGATCAATCGCAGCAAAACTAAAGTTATGATTGTCGATCGCATCAACAATAACTCGCCGGAAGTGACACAAATCGCGAACTGTCAAGTAGTCCAATCATACATTTATTTAGGAGCGCTAATTTCGAGCAACGGGGGCTGCATAGATGAAATAAAACGACGTATGGCGATATCTAGGACAGCCATGGATAAGTTGCGGAAGATATGGAGGAACCGTAACATAACAAAAGCCACTAAGACCCGGTTAGTTAGAGCGCTTGTGTTCCCCATATTCCTCTACGCTTCGGAAACATGGACCCTGCGAGAAAGTGAGAAGAAGAGAATAGACGCTCTCGAGATGTGGTGCTGGAGAAGAATGCTGAGAGTGTCCTGGACCGAATTCCGGACCAATAAGTCCATTCTCGAAGAACTCCGCATCAAGCAACGTCTGTCATCTATTGTGCAAGCTCGCATACTCACTTTCTTTGGTCACGTGTCTAGACGTAATGATATCTCGATTGAACGTCTAGTGGTCCAGGGAAGAGTAGAGGGCACTAGAGCGCGTGGCAGATCGCCTATGAGATGGACAGACCAGGTGAGGGCTGCGGTGGATGTCCCGTTGCATGAGTGCACAAGAAAGGCAGCTGTTAGGGAGGAGTGGAGGCGTATTGTAAAGCGTGCCACAACACCCAAGTGACGACCACGACCGCTCTGTCAAGAGCGTATCGACTGAGAAGAATTCTGTGAGAGCGTGTTCCTTCCCCGGTCGAGCCGACCCATTCGTGCTACAACCATTATATAACTGCAGCGTGGCTCTACCACGTTAAAAACTACGACGCTCTAATTATTGTCTGAAGAAATTAATTTAGCATTTTTATCAGCGCATTCAGACAATTTTTGTTTCAATACTGACATATAATCTATAGAACATTCCTTAGTTTGGTCGTAAACTTTCCATTAAAACTTTTAATACTATTGTACCTCTAAATTTTCTAAACTAATTTCTACTTATATGAAAAACCATAATACTTACGAACTTTTGACGTTTTCTTAAATTTACTAATGCCTCTTCAAATACTTAGTTCTATCTTTACTGTGCCTATTAAATTATAAATAATACCTACTAATACTTCATGACACAGTACCTAAGTATTACCAAAACAAATGTATGCTTACATAGATCACATTAAGTATGACCTCTTCTTCAAGTGCCAATAGCAGCTCACCTGAGATGGTAAGCGTCGACCGCCGCCCTTCAACAACTAGTTACTTACAACACCATGGGAATTGCAGGTGGGTTGCCGGCCTTTTAACCTTTCGACATCATAATCTCGTGGTAGCCCTGTTGTTGATGATGAATGAGGCTAACCCGAATGTAACTTTATCCATTTAATATTACAGTGCTGAAATTTCACAGACTGGTGGAGTCGCAGCATAACCAATACAAGGATAACGACTCTACTCTCTCCAAACTTGTTGCTTACCCAAGATCTAAAGTGCGGACAAATCTTTAAAGCTAATCACGCCATTAAGGGTTCAAGAGCAAGATGTCTTGTGAAAGTTATAGGCCGGTATCTAACCAGATTTTAAGTAAATGTTGATGAAGATCAAAAGACCTAAATATTTTCATGTTTTATTCTGACAATAATACGTGCATATACAATCAGTTGATGCAAAGTTTACGTCATTCAACTGAATCACTATTGTGATGAATTACACATTTTCCATGGAGGAGGAAAATATCAGTGTTACGCAAACATGAAACATTTAAAGTTAATTCAGTACAATCGGAAATGTTTTACTTCCTCATTTTAGTACAATTTTTATTAATTTACCTAATTACCCAGTATAAGCCAGTGACTTGATGGCAAGTGGAGCTGTAGCCGAAGATTATGTACTTTACATTGACTTAGCTTAACAAAGGCTCAAAGAAAACCCATTATTCCGCTCCTTTGCTGAATGTATTATAAACGCCGAAGCAATGTTTGGTTCGAATTCGTAGTATGTCGACAACAAAGAACAGGATGCTTGCCAAGTGTCTAGTTGTCCGATGATGGAACGGAGACTCATTTTTACAGTGAAGAGAGCTTATGTTTTCATGCAATTGCTTTATATACCTACCTCTAAATTTATTACAAATCAAGCAGAAACCTTTGCGCCGTGCAATCCATTCGCTGAAGCTTGTAAACGAACTACGTAGATATATCCGCGACTGGTTATCGCCGCAAGTCCATTTCCCATCCTAAATCCAACTACAGTTATTTAGCAAGCAAATGTAGCCACCTTTTAGCAAATATTACGTTTACTATTTTATTGGACTGTACAGTCTATTGCTGGATAGAGCATTTCCTAAATTGGAGAGCTTTGCCGTGGCTTGACAGGTGGATATTTAATAAAATGAAATTTTTGCGAAAAAATGCGGCTATGAATTGTCTTACACTTAAAATTATGTTAAAATATTCTAGAAAAAACTGTTTGAGTGGATTTTATTGGATAAAGATACTGTGTTCGAGACAATCACCAATCAATACGAGAAAACTAGGAGTAAAAACCAACAAATTGTGTTTTTGACTGGGAATTGAATCCAGAAACCGTGATTTAGCGGTCAAATTGATTCCTTGCCTACGCAGTTCTTAAGCGTAATGACTAAGGAGTGAGGGCATCAATAGAGAACTACTCACTACACCGTCCTAACCTGATTAATGGATTGAATGGAATTTTAATTCGGGAACCGCGCCGTATTAACCAGGTGCTCTGGTTAATACAACATGATTATTATTGCGATGATCGTAATAATACATGGTTAGTGGTTACGGATTACGGACACATTAAGCATATAAAAAATTTATCAAACAGAAAAGTTTAAATGACAGTAAAGATGATTTGCACAGTATGTACCTCAACAATTCCATGAAGGCTGCAGACAATGAGGAAACACACTGAATAACCCATGATTACATTCTATAGTGTTCGTTACACTCGAGTGGTAACCAGACTACGCCTTCCTATAAAAAGGAAGTTCAAAGTCACAGGTAGTTAATGTGAATATTAGAACCGTAATAATGCGACATCGGATAACCACTATATTTTCTTTAACAATAATATTATTTACAATTTACACCTTAGAATATCAGGTAAGTATACTTTTTAATTTTGTCTACTTATTTACGAGTAATTTATACATTAAATTAAAATAAAACTAAATTTTAATTTCAGATTACGCCAGATATCAAGGGTAAGTAAATATAATAAATAATAATTTGACGACAACGCTACCGATCGGTTATGGATTCTAGAGTTACTCAGAGATACTTAAGAAGATCTCAAGTAGAGCATACATTTGTGTACAAATATAGATTGTTGATGTTCTGTCTGGAAGAAATGCGATTGTTTTCATGTCCTGGCTTCTTTATTCAAGTCTATCCTTTTGTCATCGCATAGGATTCTGTTTAAATTTGGACAAGTAAGTACTTCTATGTTTAGGTACATTTTGGCATTGAAATGTCTTTAATGAAGTGATCATCTGATGGGAGATGCAGGAAGTCGATGAATGCAGCTGGCTAAGAAACTCAGGATCATGCTTTTTGGCATTTCTGGGGGGGGGGGGGGTTTAAACAGTGGACTTATGAAGGCTTGTAAACGATTATGAAATAAATAAACATGGATAAGACAGAAGTACATACTGTATTATCATCCATGTCACACCTATGCTGTTAGTTCTTAGGGACACTATGTTCTAAGTTTCTTGACGACTATCTAAGTATGTTTATTTAGTAGTATGTTAATATAAGTCCAACTTCGACCGAGAGGTCGGCAACCCAAGTTGGCTAAGCAGGAGATTACGACACGTCTTTTACGTCACGTTCCTCAAAACTTAAAAACAAGTTTGTACAACCAGAGCATGTTGCCAGTGATGACGTATGAGTCTGACAAGTTCTCTTTTACTGCTGGCAGTACAAGAAAGCTCAATGTAACTCAGCAAGCTTCTAGAGAGAACTATACTCGAAGTTCCTCTGCGTGATCGAATTCGTAATGAACACCTACACAACAACCTTTCTTAATCTTTCTGGTCACAACATCATCTTGCAAATTACATTTTTCTCTTATCACACAATTTTTCACCCTGTCATTCAGATTCAGCCTTAACATACTCCTTAATGACCTAATTTCTACAGCATTTATTATACTCTCGTGCCTCTTCTGCCACACCCAACTTTCACTACCATAAATTATAGTAAGGGCTAACACAGTACTGTGAATTGCCATACATACCTTTTTAACACATTTTGACATCCCACATAATAATAATGAGCCCCATTTACTCTATTTCCTGCATTTGCTCGTCGTTCTATATCCTTATCATATCTACCATCCCAGCTAAAAACTCATCCCAAATACACAAACTCATCCAACCAACCAATCAACCAACTCCCCTTCTATTCTTGTATCACATATCATTTTACTTTCTTCTTTTTCAAAAACCATCACCTTCGTCTTAGTTGTGTTCACTTACACCTGTTCCTGACCTGTTTATTATTGTAACCATCATTTGCAATTCAGCCATCGACAACGCAAATATGATTTGACCATCGGCATACACAAGGCATTTGACGGTTAACTTCATTCTTAACATTTCACATTCTTCATCTTAAAAGTTTCTAAACAACTGTCCATAGGTTGAACAGCCGCAAAGAAGCTACACAGCTCTGTCTGACACCTCTATGGATGCCAAACCAGTCCGAGTAGGCCCTGTTGATCCTGACACCTATAAATTGAATGCTCAACCCATATGAGTTCAGTGTTTGCCATACATAACACATCCGTGCCTACTCAATCGTAAGCCTTTTCCAAGTCCATGAATGCACAAAAATCTCTGAATTTTGGCCAGAAACTTCTCCTCAATCATGCGCATGGAAAAGACTTGATCCATACAACCCATTCACTTTCCAAATCTAGCTTACATATCCCAAATTTTTCCATTAGTTTCTTTTAGTTCCATAACTCTTTTAAATTACTCAATTTGAAAAAAAAAATTAAGATATCATATATTTTTATTGACATTTTAACACATAACACATTTAAATTTATTTAAAGCAGTACATAAAACAAAACTATTCTAACAATTCCATTTTCAGATGATGCTGACCATGAACAGAATCCTGTTACTCGGGAAAAACGTCAAGTGGAGAACTTTGATTCCGATGATATATCAAGGCAAGATGAACAAGAACCTGGGTTCTGGGATAGGGTAGTTAAAGTTGCAATCAGACTGTTCAACAAATTCATAGAATGGCTAAATTCATCTTAGACACAATAATATGACTATTTATATCCAATTATGAAAAATAAAACTATTAAATTATGTACGTAAGATTATATTTTTTATTGTAATTTATACATTATATTATATCTAAGAAGTGTTCTTGAATAATAACTTGACATTTTTATTAAAATGGTACAAATTTTATGTTTTGATGTTAAAAAATACTATTGACCATGTCACTGACAGGGTTTTAAAAAATCTTCTGATATATTGAAGGGGTTATATGACCTTTGTGAGGCCAAATGACGTATATGTACCAACTCCTGATTATCCGTTGGTCTAGGAAAAGAATTTACTGCTCTATCAGACATGTTAATTGATTTAATAATATTTTTACAACTAGACTGTCTGATAAAAGCTTTACTTGTTAGGGCTGTATCAACCAAACATTTTTCTAAGAAAGCAACCACACCTTTATCTTTTGGCAATGCTTTTCCCTCTAACGCATTTGCTAATGCATGATATATTTTACTGAAATCAATACTATTCGTGCAAACAGCTGGGGGAAAGTCTTCAAAGTCTGCTATGATGCGAAGAGCGGTTGCAGTCTCAGTATGAAGTTCTTTAAAACTAAGAGAATCCGTAAGAAGTTTTGCCCAGTCAGCTAGAGGGATAAAATTGGTACGATTCCGCTTTTTTTCTTTCTTAATTTTTTGACAGAGAATGGGATCTTTCATAATTTTTTTCTTATAATACGCTATTGCAACGTTTACTTCTTCCGGAGATTTAGTGGTAATATGCTTACTTAATTTTTCGACATCACTACAACTATAGAGTTTTAAAGCTTGCAAAAGTTCGAATTTTTCATCCTTGTTCCAGTTTTTGATTCCATTTGATAAATCAATATTATTAGTACAAGTTTCACCCATGGTAACTATTGTTTAGATAGAAATTTTCGTACTTAAATTACATTTAACTATAAACTTGCTAGTAAAAACAGTTTACTTCGGCTTATGACAATGACACTATTTTGTTTTGGTTTGGTTTCGTTTTAAAAAGATACTCTATGGACACTATTGTTTTTTATAGTGGCACTTCACATGGCTATTTGGTATTTGTGATAGCATGTTGCCGTATTTGGCAAAAAAATTGACGTAAGGGCAAATAAACGATATAACCGTCCACACATGGAGCCAAATACCAAAAAATGAAACATGTTTGCCAGCGTAAAGTAGTTGTACCTATAAAATGGACGTTGCACTTTCAGCTGGATTTTATTATTTGAACGCATGTTACTATTACATGTTATGCGTAAAAAAATACAAAGTGATAAAAAAAAGACCAAGAGCAAGGCGATGGTGGATGCTGACTGTGCATAAAAATCGAACCAAGTAAGTAATTTGTTTATTTCATTTGTAGAATGACTTTTGCATGACACGCAAATCATATTAACGAAAATTCCAATAAAATAAGAACCTAAATCTAATTAGTATATACAGAATAGAATAGAATAATTTTTTATTCAATATAGATCACATGTGTAATTCTTATTGAAAGTATTTTTTTTACTTTACCACTGGTTGGAAAAAAAAACCCTCTGTCCTGAGAAGAACTAGCAAGAAATCCAGCAGGATTTTTTTAAAATAAATTTTACAATATAAATGGTTACAAACTATTTACAATTTATTTTAGAAACAGATTGCAAGCGACTACCTCGTTCCCAGGGTTTATTATCAACCATGTATTCATTTATATTAGCCCTTTTTTATAGAGTTTTTCATTAATTAAATATTTAAACTTGGTAATAGCTATGGAGTGTAGAGTAGACACTCCATAGTAATAGCGTATACATTGCCCCAAGAACGGGTTACTGACTTTATGGACTCGAGATATAGGTCACTAGCTTGTGTTTGTTCCTAGTGTTTACAGAGTGTATATCACTTTTTACTAAAACTGTCTATGTTCTTGTGAACATACATAAAATTTTGGTAAATATACTGAGAGGCCAAAGTTAATATATTAATTTCTTTAAATTTATCTCTAAGAGACTCCTCGGTTTTAGGTTGTAAATACACAATAAAAGTTATTTATATTTCCAGGGAATCTATGGAGACAAGGTTTCAAGAAATGTTAGCAGAACCCTCTAACGAGTTTGATAATTTCTGCCGAATGTCTTATGCAGATTTTAATTTTTTGTTACAAAAAGTCCATCCCATAATTTCTAAAAAGGATACAAAATGGAGAGAAGCTATACCTGCAAAAGTTAGATTAGCGATTACTTTACGATTCCTTGCATCAGGAGACAGTTATAGAAGCCTTCACTATACCTTCAAGATATCAAGTCAAATAATCTCAAGAATTATAATGGAAGTGTGTGCTGCTTTATATCAGGTTCTAAAGGATCAAATCAAGGTAAACAACATATATAATTTTCATTAACTTTTATTAATCGTAATCAAATTATTTTTAAGTAGGTATTAAATATGCTATTAATTATTTTTCCCTCGAGGTATTTGCGATGGTGATGGTGTATACGACACCATTCTAGAAGTAGGATTCGGTAGATTCAAAGGAGTATCATTAGAGTATTCTGAGTATTCAACATGATATGCAGGAGAAGGAGCATCCATTTGCGGTGAAGATGACGTATACAAAACCTTTGTAGAATTTGGATAACTGTTAACACAATTAAGATATTCCACTTCTGTCGGAAATGCAACCTGTGGAGGAGATGCGATATTGCTTTGCGGTGGTGATGGTGTATACGATAACATTGTTGCATCAGAATTAGGTTGACTGGTAGCAGAATTCAGAGATGCCACATCTGTCGGATATGCAACCTTTGGCGAACTTGCAACCGCTGACGGAGATGCGATATTGATTTGGGGTGGTGATGGTGTGTATGATAGCATTGTTGCAGCAGAATTTGGGCGACTGGAAGAATAATTAGGCAAATTGAAGTTGTAGACGTGTTCATCGACAAATAGCTCATGTATTTTTGCCATCATGATGTCTCGGCGTTGTTCAGAAAGTTTTCGTAGCTTTCTAGCCACAAGTACCCCAAAGGTAGAGCATTCATCATCTTCATCCTTTAGCTGCAGCTGGGAATGTTGCTTCATAAAACTATATGCTTCATCCATTCGTTTTTTCGCTTCTATAAGTTCAGGTGGATTATTTTGTCTTCTTCTATGCAATATTGGTCTTGCTGTTGAACCCTGTTGTTCATTTGAATTTAATTCCTGTTGTTCTTGGCTTCTAATATTTTGATCTATAGGGCCCTGTTCTGTGTTTTGATCTTCATTAATCGTAAGTTCTTCATCCTGCAAGTATAAATAACATTAATATTTTTGTTACAGTTGCCCGTGGTAGAACAAGACTGGTTGGACATAGAAGGTGGCTTCCATCAACGTTTCCCGCACTGCATAGGTGCGATAGATGGAAAACATGTAGTGATACAGTCTCCAGTTAACAGTGGCTCAGAATATTACAACTACAAAAAATCTTTTAGCATCGTTTTATTAGCTTTGGTTGATAGTAATTACTGCTTTATGTATGCCGACGTGGGATGTCAAGGGAGGATAAGTGATGGAGGCGTTTTGAAAAACTCCGTTCTGTGGAATAAAATAAACAATAATACGTTGGGGCTACCAGCACCAATTCCACTACAAAATGGAAATGGTGACTTGCCATATGTATTCTTAGGTGATGGAGCATTTGCCTTACATAACAATATCATGAAACCATATCCAGGGAATCATCGAGAAGGCACCAAAGAAAGAATTTTCAACAAGAAGCTTTCATCAGCCCGTGTTATCGTTGAAAATGTATTTGGTGTTATGTCTGCTATATTTAGAGTGCTACGTTCGCCTATGCTACTTGAACCTGAATCAGCTAGCCAAGTAGTCATGGCGTGTGTAGTTCTACACAACTTTTTGAGAAGAAGTAGACTGTCTAGAAATGTATATAATCCACCTGGTACATTCGACCTGAATGATGGAGACGACTTAATAATACCAGGGTCATGGAGGGCCGATATTCCCAACAACCCAGCACTGCGTGATATTCGTAACATTCCTAGAAGATCTCCAAGGAATCCAGTCGAAATCAGAAACGACTTTGCTAATTACTTTTATAATACATGAAACTGATTGATCTGTAAACTTACCTATCTGTTTATTATTTGAAAATAAAATAAAATTATTATTATAAAATTTATAGGTAGTTATATTTTTTTTATAGATAATAATAATAATAATGTCCTCCAGACCGAATTTCGGCCACGGCGGCCAGCCTCAACGGAGACTAGCCATCTGCGCAGGACAGGATTATAGTGCCCAAGTGTATGCGCAAGCACAGGAGCACTCTCTATTCCCTCACTCTCATAGCCCGATGGGACGGTAAACCGACACGACCGGAGAGAGATCGGGCGTAGGACCAACGACTTTACGTGCTTTCCGAGGCACGGGGGTGAAACACCGCCAACTTCCTGACTCCAGGCAGATACTGAGAATTTCTTGATGGAAAAACTCAATAACTGATTTTTTTGGCCCGACCCGGGATTCGAACCCGGGACCTCATGATCAGCAGTCGCACTACTACAACCACTAGACAAACTACTTTGGAAATGATTACAGTAATACATACAGTGGTATTTTACTTTGTGTTTTTATCATCATACAACCAGTTTAAAATATCTTTCTTACTAGCTTAGCTAGCTTAGCATGTAAAGGTAATATTATAAATGGACATATTATCCCTTATTCATCTTGGCTTTAATCATATTTATTTAATTAGTGTAGTGGTGTTTGTGATGTATATTCACTAATTAATTAACTATGTAAAAATAGTCTCCACACCATGTTTGTTTGTCTGCTGTGCACCATTTTTTGCCAGACCTACTAAAAAGATTTTCCATCAATCTTAAAGTACCTATAAACGCTGAATGAACCTACAACTTTGTTTTATACTAATTTTAAGCTATTCTATTCTATAATATGTACTATTCTAACTCATAATATCGGTGAATACTACTAGAAAATAGTTTTTAGTTTGTTTATAGGTTATTGTGATATTCATATTTTTATTTTTAATTTTTCAGTATTCCCGTTAGATGCGGTAAAACTAATATTAATTTTGTAATTTATAGATGATAAGGAATAAATTGACATGCATTTCATTAATTGTAGCTAAAATTTGTGGTGGGCCCATTCTATATACAAAAAGAAATTGTCTTCTATAAATGTATTATTACTTACCACAGTGTTTATGGTACTGTTGCAGGTATAAACAGAATTCAAAAAACTATCCATGAATGCAAATGCAAACCAACTTGGTTGATACACATCGGATGCACCTGATCCGGATCGTTCGCTTTTCTTTATTTTGGTTTTGTAACCTCGGTACGCAGACATAAGCGACTCCTTCTTTTTTTTAAATCTTGCAGGGTACATGGTACACCCAAATTGTCTTTAATTGTATTCCACGCGTCGTTTACTCTTTGCCGGTTTTTATGCCCCTCGTTTCCAGGGTCCCAAATGCATGGGTTCATTTGGTAAAGTTCTAAAAACCTTACAACGGTTTCTTTGTCCCAATTCATTTTCCGTATGTATCTAAATAATTACTTATTAAGGTTATAAACAGGTCCGTCCGTACTGGTTGACAGTTCGCGCGCTTATGAGCCCGACCATGTGTGGCCAGTATATTTGCGTATTTGCCTATTTGTCTCCTTTGATGTGCCTTAAAAAACCGACAGACGATCGGTAAGCCGTATTTGTTATTGGCTATATTTGCCAAATAGGCAAATACGGCAATAATTATGGCAAATATACTCTCCACACATGGAAGTTATTTGTCGAATACCCCAAATACGCAAATACAAATAGCCATGTGAAGTGCCACCATTAAGCTATCATAGTTACGGTTACGTTAT